TGGTGTAAAACTTTTTAATTTATGTTTAGATGTTATTTAATTTCTTGTTATGTGAGTTTGAATTTAGTATGGTAGCCATTTCAGAAGAAAGTATTAAAGTAATTTGAGATGTTAAGATTATGAAGAAATGTCATTTCTTTAACAGAAATACTAAGATAACTTCTCAAAATGACTTCTAAATTGTTATTTATTTTGCTAATGCAAACAAGCATCTGTTTAGTAAATATAATTAAATTATTTTGTTTATTACGATTGTGTTAGTGTATATTACTATCGATATATCGAACTATTGACAAGAATGCCACATTTAGCTACCCCATTCAGTTTTTCATATTTAAAAATCATATCTTACAAACAGAACTTTCCAAATTAAACATCAAAATTATTTAACTGACCTTTACCCTATAGAATCAGGAATCCCCAAAGGAAGCGTACTTGAACCATACTTGTATATTCCCTTTACATCGGACCTACCAGAAATTGTAAATACTATCGTTGCCACATTTGCGGATGATATGACCATTTTATCTGTCCACGACAAACCGGTTCAAACTACAGCAAATTTACAGTTAAACTTGGATGAAATTTCACATTGGTTTAAAACATGGAGGTTCAAAATTAGTGAAAATAAATCAGAAAACATTACTTTTACCCTAAATCTGGCTACATGTCCTCCAGTATCCATGAACAATATTTACCACCCTAAAGTAACAGAAATAAAATACTTGGGCATGCACTTAGATGCAAAGCTTAATTGGAAGGCACATATCTGGACTAAAAGACAATATCTAAATTTTAAAATAACTAAGCTTAATTGTCTTCTTGGATCTAAATCAAAACTTAGTACACAAAATAATGTTACTTTGCAGAAAAGTTATAAAACCAATTTGGACTTATGGGATCCAACTTTGGGGATCATCAAGTACATCAAACATTGAAATTTTTCAACGATACCAATCAAAATTGCTACGTAAAATTGTCAACGCACCTTGGTTTGTTACTAACAGAACACTTCATAATAATCTTAGAATTTGAAAAGTCAAAGAAGAAATTACAAAATCTAGTGAAAAAAGATAATCAAATTGGAAAATCATTCAAAATCGTCTTATACAAAACAACTTTTGCAAAACTTATGACAGCTAGCCTGACCATACTACTGGAACGAATTACACGCGGTTGGTACCAAATGAAAGATATTTTCCTGTAGATGTGATGAATCCCTTTATAAATTAAAATAGGCTCAAAAATAAACACAAGAAACGAATTTAAAATTTTAAAAATAACTTGGGCCGTATGGGTTGCCATGTAGGTAACGAAATAGAAAACCAAATAGAAGAAATTCCATTTACATGTCTTATTTATAGCATAGGGTAAATATAGATAAGTTGGAAAAATACATACTTTTGGTCAAGTTTCCGACCACAAGGCGAGCTCTCATCTTGCACTAAATTTATTGGACAATCACAACACCATTTACGACATTTAAACCTCCCATTCAGATTCGGCTGTGTTATCAAAATTATCTTTGTCAGCTAGTGTTGAGAGTGGTAAATCACTATACTTTTAACGTTGTATTATTGTTAATGTATTTGCTTATTTTTCTACTTTTGAAACAGACTGTAAATTAAATAAAGTTGAAACCCGATTAAGCTACAACCCATTTAATAGTATATTTCGTACCTAGGGCCAAAAATAAGGTTTTGCCGGCTCGAGATAGTTCGACTTCGTCTCGATCGAGAGCTGCAAAACCATTTCGGTCCGTGGTACGAACGCTATTTTGCACCACACTATACCCTATTGCCACTATTCACCTCTATAATAATGCACACTGATGGTTAGCACAACTACAACTTTAAGGTTATGTGAAGAAATAATTCGAGGCATCAGCAAAAATAAAAATAAATTGTTGCTAGGCAACGGTGACAATAAAATAATTCTATGGATACTGATTGTGTATTTAATATGCATTCATGTTTTAAGTAAGTAAGCGGGCAGCTAATTTTGCGGCCCTAGGGACCAGCGACCACAGAATTAAAATTAAAATTTTAATTCTGTGGTCGCTGCTAGGGACCTGCTCGGTCCCCGAATAACGATGACAGCTAAAAACCTAATAATTCTATAGAATAACAAGCTGTACCCGCTGGCTTTGCCCCGTTAAACTAATTAATTTTCAAGATTAGCTCGTTCGCATGGCTCAATCAAGTCCTGGTTGAAGTTCGTTCGCTACGCTCTCTCACCTTTAGGTTGGAGCTCGTTCGCTGAGCTCACTTGCCTTGGGGTTAACTCGCCTCCAGGTTGAAGTTCGTTCGAAACGCTCACTCAGCTTTTGGTTGCAAATTAGCTGTTGTCATAAATTGTTAAATTGACACAGCTGTTATGATTCATTAATTCCTTTTAAATATGAAAAATCATAAGGTTAAGATGGGAAACTCCAGAGCCACTGGGGCGGAGCCCGAATGCCCGATCATAATAAAAACTACTTAGTTTTCCTATTTAATGCCCAAAGAATCGGTGTATCGAATTTCAGCCTCCTAGGTAAATGGGAAGTGGGAGAATTAGTGATGATGCGTGAGTGAGAGTGAGTGTGTCAGTGAGGGCTTTGCCTTTTATAAGTATACATAGCACATTCAACCAGCTGTTAGTTAAAACAAATTATATTGGACTAAAACAAATCGATGATTACAAAGAATACTTTAAAAAATAATTTGAACATCCTACTACTGTATTTTACTATGCACATTTAATTAAACTGCCATCCTCGTACCGAAGAATTAAATGTATCAATGGTCAGCATTACACATACATAGTATAAATAAGTCAACCATAAGTATGTATTTGAATTTTCTTCCAAATGCTGAATTTGTGTCACAAATACTGAATGTTACAGCTGTTATGTTAAGCAAATTATAATGTACTAAAAGCTAGCTAGAAGCATTGACTTATTGGAGAAGGTTAGCATCGGCTGCTAGACTTTTTAAAAACTAAAACTTAATTTATAAAAAACTGGGACATTAATTTTAAATTATGGCTTTGAAATTATCTAGTTCTCAAAATTGTCTTTCTTTCAACACAAAACTAATGAAAATCCATCGACTGGTTGATTCAGAATCGTGAAAAAACCCCATTTACGTTATAATAATATATATGATAGTTTGGACAGGTTTCAACCCTTCCGTGGCGTAATACATTACACAGTTTATATGTAGACTACATTATAACTCATAAAATAGTTCTACAATTAAATGGATCTCCTTTTACAAACGTATATAATAACCAGAAATGTTCAGATCGTCCTTGCGTGTATTTTATGCCACAAATTTTGACGAAAGGCTTTTCATTACATAAACTATACCTATTTACAGTGTTGACCAAACAGTTGGCAAGAAGCATTAATAAATAAGCTATGTACCAAATATGATAATTTTAGCTCTATTCTAATTATGACAAAACACGAAGTAACTAAAAGCGAGTTTTGTTGGTGTAGTAAGCGTTGCAGGAGGTCTACTTTACACTGAATCGACGTTCACTTTTATTGCTTTTGATCTTCCGACACTTTTGACTCAGCGAAACTGAACTTGTATTTTACCGTATTTCGTTATATTAATCCTGCTGTTGCATTAGGTCAAATTCCCAATAAGTCAATTGCTTTAACATAGACTAAACTTTTAGCCCGGACTGTACTATTTGACTTTCTGGGATTTTTGATCTACAGACACTGCAAACATTGTAGTTTTTGACCTAGCGGCACAGGTATAAATTATTTGATCTTCCGGGACTGTTGACTTTCAGCAACATTCCCGTTTTAATAAACACATACTCACAAGAACTAAAACAATAAAAAAAGCACGATTACTTGATATATAAACGGTAAAATCAAAGCCAATACGTTGGAATTGCTACCAGGCGGCATATATTTATTAATACAAAGTTAGAGTAAAATCACCAAAATAATTAATTTACCATGAAAATTAAAGAATACAACATAAATTAGCAATAAAATATTATACCCTAAACCTTATAGTTGTAAAAGAGCAACGACATTTAAAGTACAGCCAGTATTGCGCCAATCGTTCACGATATTCAACATCGTTCACGTGAACGACTGGAGCGTGAACGACTGGCAAATCTGATCTAAAATCTAGTCTATGAAAAGCTACATTTACTGCGTTGGCATCCAATTTGAGGTTAGGTTCTAGGCCTAGAAACATTGTCAGAATATGCAATCCTTTTTATTGTAAGTTGCAAAGTTTGTGAGTTATTAAAGTGAACGACTTGAATCTTAATTAAGGTACTGCTGCATTTCTTACCTGTTTATCAGTTCATTTCCAAAAATCTTCTTAAAATTCACAAAATTGTTCAGATGTGGCTACTGCGCAAACTCATCACAAGCACTAAAATGTGTTTTGCCGCCAAATTACGCATCGCCCCGTTTCGTCTAGAACCCATTTCGTCGAAACGTCTTTGACATGCTGTACCTTGGGGACTGCCTTTAGACAATTAAAAAAAAAGGTCCCCATAGTATTTAGCATTTTATTACTGCTTGTTATTGAGAGCAGACGATCTCCCGATGTTTATAGTTCCATTATATTGCAAAATTGTGAGGTTATGAAGTATTTATTTTTTGAGTGAACATTACGGCATTAGGCTGGGGACAGTGAACGACTGGCAAATTATGATAAACAGTCCTGCTTTTCTTGTTGAATAAATTATTATTAGGATCTAAAACTATGTTTGCTGGAAAGGTAAGGGGTTGGATAATAATAACAACACATTATTACTTAAAATAGTATTTTTATTTTGCATTTGTGCCCAGAGGACTTCAAAATCACCCATTATGTGACATTGACCCTTATTGGTTTCACAACTTGTCGTGGTTATCTAAGGGTTTGAAGTTGGCTACTTATTTAGCATTTCAACCACTAATTTTAACACTCCCATTAATAAAATACTAAGTTATTGAAATAGTTAATAGACAGATATGTATATGATGGATATCTTACCTACTGTTCCTAGAACCACTAAGAAACCTCGATCCTTGGGCTTTGGCAAAAGGAGTTTGAGGGGCGAGGCCATTGACAGAGAATACACTGCCAAATTCAAAATAAGCTGGGCTGGAACCCCAATGTGGAATCATACCAGTTGAGTAGAACGGCTGCTGTTGAAATGTCTAAACAGGCACAAAACAGACAATTTCATTGCAAAACTTTTTTATGTAACAAATAATAAATATTGAAGACTAAAAATAACCATCTTAGACTTTAATCAATACTAGGGATGGGCTGATTCCGATTCTCGGTACCAGTGGTATTGAAGAATCGCAGATACTCAATACTTCACTTAATTGTACTCAATACTGATTCTGAAGCATTGTTCTGAAGCATTCTTCTCATTTTAATCCTGATGTTCAGGGCTTTAATTTTATATGCAACATGACTATATTCTAAAAAAATACAATTTTCAAGAAAGTCTTGAAAAAATTGTATGTACCGTATTTAAAAAAAAATCATTTTTTTAAATTATGAGCATTGGCTGCATAATGCGTTGTTCGGAAAAAGGTTTGTATCGAGTGGCCCTACTTACTAACAACAACAACTAATAATAGGCTATACGTCAAGCTATTCTCTATATGCTATGTAAGATTCATCATGGGATGGCTTTAAGATTACCTATAATGAACTAGAGGTGGACCGATACCAATACTCGATACGAAAATGTATATTACCACGTCAATAACCTGTATGGCTGGGCAATGTCACAGTACTGTACACTACGACGTCAATAACCTCTATGGTCGGGCAATGTCACAGTAGTGTATATAACGACGTCAATAACCTCTATGGTTAGGCAATTTCACAGTACTGTATATTACGACGTCAATAACCTCTATGGTTGTGCAATGTCACAGTACTGTATATAACAACGTCAATAACCTCTATGGTTAGGCAATTTCACAGTACTGTATATTACGACGTCAATAACCTCTATGGTTAGGCAATTTCACAGTACTGTATATTACGACGCCAATAACCTCTATGGTTGTGCAATGTCACCTAGTACTGTATATTACGACGTCAATAACCTGTATGGTTGGGCAATGTCACAGTATTGTATATTACGACATCAATCAAATCAAATAAAATCATCCCTTATTCATAATGTACAATATATACATGAATAGTGTCAATTATAAAGAATACCAACATAAAATAATACAAGCTGCTATACCCGTGCTTTGCAACGGGAAGAAAATGTGACGTAGAGAGCTATTAAAGTGGTGGTGCTGATGCGTGTTTTAAAATACAGCAACTCTATGATTTAGTTTGAAAATATAACTGATTTAAAAGCGTAAACCTACTTACTTTCAAACCCCTACTTTTGATATTAATAGATCCATAAGAATATGACACATACCTTAGCGTAGCAATAGCATAAATTGCTTCATATTGATGCTTCATGAATGACATGTTTTACCATAATTCTTCAATTTTAGTCAAGCCTCTTCACATGTCTTACTACAGTATATAAATTGAAAAATGAAACTTTGAGCAATACTTTACAAAACATATACAACCTCACTTTAAACCCAAACATAACCCTCCCCAATCTACATAAAGCGTCACAAACATCTTTTTAGAGTAAATAAACAAACACCAGTTCATTGTACAGACCAGCTGTTTCATTAACTAAATTAAATTAAATCAAATCATTCAAACATTGGAAGCATGCTAGGCGTAACACTTTGAAAATCAGCCTGTGGGGCAGAGCCCTTAAGAAATTCTTCCATATCAATACTTTTCGGCAAATCTACACACTCTAAGCTTCATTTTGATGTGCCATATGCCTATATTTGTATTTGGTAAATGACCTTAACCATTTACATAAAATTTGATTGTATCACTTTAATAATATAATACAATATAATATAATATCATATTATATTAATAATATAATATAATATCATAATATAATATAATATAATAATATAATATCATATTAATATAATACATAAAATAACAATAACCTGTATGGTTAGGCAATGTTACAGTACTGTATATTACGATGTCAATAACCTCTATGGTAGGGCAATGTCACAGTACTGTATATTACGATGTTAATAACTTCTATGGTTGGGCAATATCACAGTACTGTATATTACGACGTCAATAACTTCTATGGTTGGGCAATATCACAGTACTGCATATTACGACGTCAATAACCTGTGGTTAGGCAATGTCACAGTACTGTACATTACGACGTCAATAACCTGTATGGGTAGTCAACGTTACATCACTGTATATTACGACATTAATAACCTGTATGGTTAGGCAATGTCACAGTACTGAATATTACAACTAGGGATGTGTCGAATCCGGATCTCGAATCCACCGAATCTTAAGAAAAGATCGGGGTTCGAGAATATATATATATATATATATTTTTTTAATAGAATTATGAGGCATATACTGTAACATTGACTAACCATAGAGGTTATTGACGTCGTAATATACAGTACTGTGACATTGCCCAACCATAGAAGTTATTCATGTCGTAATATACAGTACTGTGACATTGCCTAACCATACAGGTTATTGATGTCGTAATATACAGTACTGTGACATTGCCTAACCATACAGGTTATTGACGTCGTAATATACAGTACTTTGACATTGCCTAACCATACAGGTTATTGACGTCGTAATATACAGTACTGTGACATTGCCCAACTAATATCATCAACTAATAGTTTCATTTTAAGATTTGGAAAAGTTTTAGCGTCCCTAAAAAATGAGGGATTATGGGCTCAACTGGAGATTACTATATATAAGATATATTAACCTTTAAACATTACCAATTTAATTTTAAACAGTATGATTTAAATTGGCATTCTGTTAATTACGTTTTTTTAATAAGCCCTTATGACAGTGTGTATCTTCGGATCCGGATCAGAATTTTTCAAGATCCAGATCCGGATCCGGATTCGGTACTGACATTTTCTTGGATCCGCCCATCACTAGTATCGATAATTATCGTGATTCGAGATCCGATATGTAGTACGTGTTTGTTTATACATAATGAGTATTTAAGTATAAAAAACTAGGTTAGTTACAGACAGGTTCAAAACATTGATGGTTCCGATCCATTGTTGACACCCCTACACGGAGGTTATAGTGACGTCGTGCATAAGGGCCAGGCAGGCCGGTTCACAGTGAATCCACTCTGCCGAACCTATACTCTTGGTATCATCGGGAACATAGTCAAACACTTTTGTTACTAAATAAAACCTATCTATTGCCATACTTTTCTCCACAGATGTCGACTTATTCTACAATGTCTTTAAAAAATACCAGGTTTCAGTCAAAATACTTTTGTAAAAATTGACAATGTGCTGTTTTAACACAGATGGAAATCTGCAAGCGACTGAGGCCGAGGGTGAGGGAGGGCATGTGAACCAGGCTTTAGAGCAAACTTTCTCTTTTCCTACCCCATGTCCCGTTAGACGGTGGGCGGGGCTTCACACTAATAAACACTCAGTTCATTCATTCACAGTAGAGAATAGTTTTTGTGGCAGTGACGTATGTCTCTTGTCTGCTCTTCATAGCTCACACGTAGATTGCTTTCGAGAAATTATAAGTGATAATCTTTATTAAAAATAAGTGAAAAACTGTTGACATTTTCAAGGAAGAAAAGTTAAGAATTAAAAGTGTTAAAAATAAAAAGGTTGTTTGATTAGTTATTCTGTATTTAAAAAATATCCTCATTTATGAATGTGTTTTCAGCTAGACTTGATGATTTGTTTATAGTTAAACAAATTTTGAAGATATAGGCCTATAACTGTTTTTCATACAACTAGTGAGAAACTGTCATTATATAGGAAGTTCGTTTTTACTCTCTTAGGGGAAAAACTTACAGAGTATTTGTAGGCCAAGATGTAAGTAATTTTTTTTTTAATTTATAGCTTAATGAGTTAACTAAGACAATAGATGCGATTTCAAATAAATACAAAAACTGACAAATGACAGACTTATATAAGCCTATTTATATATTAGAGGAAACTTTATTAGATCTCATGCTTTAGTCAAATTCAAACATTTACAGTAGGCCTATTTTAAAATAAACACTTAGTTCCATATTTTTGCAATTGTTTTTTGCAATTAATAATAAACGTTTAACACCAAAATATAAGTTAAGTTTGATACACATACATATTGTGTTTTTTATGGTATAACAGTTTATAATATTATTAGTGGAAGAAACTGTGCCAAAAAGATAGGTATCGGAAGTATCGGTATCGAGAGTACTTTGGTGGTATCGGTATCGACAATTTTTGGTATCGGCCCATCTCTATAATGAACATAATAATTATTAAAAAAAACAATGTTTGTTCCTTTTAGCCCAAATGTTTGTTGTTGTATCTCCATTTTTATAAGGTGTCTAGTGAAAGTGCTTTGGAACTACAATATATAGGGCCTATATATGCCCTTCAACATTTTAATAGGTTGGTATTGTGTACTTAAGTGTCATTAAACAGATAAGAAGACACTGTAGGAATGTAGGGCTACCATAAGCGTCCTTTTCCTTTACATAAACTATTAGCTGTATTAAATATCAAATTTACACTACAGTATTTACAAAGAAATATTGAGATGTGAACCCTACACTTTATTTTCTTAATACAAGTCTGGAACACAATAGTATTTCACTTGGTGAGTGTGTAGGTTCTTACAGTTGCTGTATTTGGGTTCAGTATTGCTCTCACATCACTGTTTTTGATCTCTAAGACATCTAGATTTATTTATTTACTAGTGTACCTGTTGCTCGAATTCGAGCAATTGCTAAGTATTACTGGCGTTATTATAAAACGAATATCAGTCATAATTTCTGATGACTTTAAACGATTTGACTCAAAGCTTTCAGAAATACTCAAGATGTACATAACAGATTGATATAATCAACATTTCTTGTAAATATCTTATCATTTTTCAAAAGCTTGTCTTGGTTTTTAGTGTTTTCTACAAATAGCCTTACTCATAGCCGCATTAGGTTGTAAATAATAATAATTATAAATTCTAAAAAAAAAACAATATTTCTATTTATTCTCCTTGGTGGTTTTCTATGACTTTCCTATGTTTCCATAGTTTGCAAATCGACTCTTTCAATGATTAAGAAATGCAGCACAGTGTTAATTTAGTTTTCTTTTTAGTAGGTTATAGCAAATTATCCAGGCTCTTTCGCTTTATTCCATTGTAATATTCACGACAACCCTAATTCAAATAGTATTTTATTTCAACCAAGTCAGTAAATGTTTGTAGCAAACTGTTAAATTAACAAACTTATTAACTGTTTACAATTAACATTGGTTCTTCTTCTCACTTTTAATTTCTGACAACAGCTGGAGTTTCATAAAAATTTTTGTTACTCCCTAATTATTTCTCTAAAAAGAAAGTTTCCTGCACAACTTCACGTTACGCTCTTTCCAATGACACCAAGAACATGTAAATCGGTTCAGTAGTTTCGGAGGAGTAATTGTCACAAAAATCTTGCTTGCGTATTAAATAAGTATAGATTTATTGCTCTTGAAAGTTTTTACATTGTGTAGCATAATTATTCTAATATTTACATTGAAATAGGTTACATGGAAGTTTTTTTAACTAATTACACTTTAAATAAAATTTATTTTAAACAAATAAATCAACACATAAAAGAAACGGAGGAAAACTACAAAACATTGTTCATTTATCAGGAAAGCCTTAAAACATTTAACTCTTAACCCCTGGGGAATATACTACTGTGCCCCTAACTCCAACGGTGCGCAGTGTACTCATCAACCGAATAGAACGCCTGATTTTTCAAGTCACGCTTCAGTTTTGTTTTGAATAGATGGGAGCTTTCCAGACTTTTAAGTCTTTCAGGAAGACACTTAAGGATAATTCTTAGTAGTTACCCTTTAGCACGACTTATGTCCTTGCCACTGGCTCTACTCACATAGATTTGCACTGGACTGCCGTAGTTGAGTTGAGAAGGTAGGTAGCTGCCGTTGGAGATGAAGCGCTGCTGTGTGGGAGGGAAGGCTGTGGAGGGGTCAAAAGCAGGAGCAGTTGTGGCAGCAGGAGGTGGTCTGTAACCGTTCTTCATTGTTCCCATTGCACTCACAACTGGTGGTATGGGCAACCTGTTCATCGGTTTTGCCTTTATTCTAGCCATTATGGGTTTACCCTGAAACAAAAATTATTTCAGTGCAATTTGCTAATTATTGGATTCATTCAATTACTGGTAACGTTGGTAAATTTCAGAAAAAAATCAACTAAAAAACTATTTTTAAGTATTTACTAGACTTGATCAGTATTTTTAACTTCATTATTCATTCTACTTAAAACATGTTTTCTAAATAATGCAGTTTTAGATGTTTTATTGTATTACATATGTGATTTCTCTAGCATCCTAAATACTTTCAAAGAAATTGCTAAACTAAGAATAATTATTCAATTTTAACTCGATAAAGTGGTCCATAATACACAAAGATATTTGAGTATTAACGAAAACATAAGTATATAAACACACACTACATTATATAACACTATCGTAGACCATACTTATGCATAATGAAAAAAAATGAAAATCTTTTACCTGGAACTCTTTAACTTCCTCTCTTAAAAACCTGTAGGCTTTTTGAGCATCTTCATCATTTTCAAACGTAACATACCAAGAGTTATTGTGCGCAAACTCACAGGAGATAAGTTTTGGACAATTTTTCCCAGAGAATAAAGCCTGAAACAAAAAACAACAAATTAAATTGTATAGAACAATATAATAAAATAAAATTTAAGTACTAAAACTAGGGATGGGCCGATTTTGATTCTTGATACCTCGATACTTCCTTTCAATGTACTCGATGTGAAGGATCAGTCCTTAAAATGATCATGCTCATATTGAATCACATATTAACTATGAAATTAGTATTTATGGTGGGACAAAGAAAAAGAATTTAAAAAAGATTTTGAAAATAAAAAAAAAAGCTATCAGGATAATACATAAATTAAAATATAACCAGTCCATCAAATCTTATTTTAAAGGGATGGGCATTTTTACAGTTCACGCCTTATATATTTTTGAAACAATTAAATATTTTGTAAATATTGCTGAGACTCAAGAATTGTCTTTGCATAATTATAATACAAGGGGTAAAAATTATTTAGCTAAAGAAAAACCAAGACTTGAACTTTTTAAAAATAAACCTTCTTATATTGGAAACTATTTTTTTAGAAAACTTCCTAGCTTTTTAAAAAAGAAAAAGACAAATCTAAATTTATGAAAAAACTGAAGGCATTCTTACTTGACCTTGCACCTTACAAAATATCTAATATATAAAATTCTCGTGTCACGGTGTTTGTCTGCAAACTCCTCCGGAACGACTTCACCGATCGTTATGAAATTTGGTGTGTAAATTCTGTAGGTATGCGAATCGGACGTAAACTATTTCCCGTTTCGAAATTCTTAAAAGGGCTCCGCCCCAGTGGCTCTGGAGTTTCCCATGTTAACCTTATGAGAAATGGAATTAATGAATCTTAACAGCTGTTTCAATTAAACAAGTTGGTTCTGTTCTATGATGTTCAATAGCATTAAAGTTACAAGGATTACCAACAGGGTGCAGCACTATTATTTCTTTTACATTTATGACAACAGCTAATTTGCAACCAAAAGGTGAGTGAGCGTAGCGAACGAACTTCAACCTGGAGGCGAGTGAGCGTAGTGAACGAGCTAACCTGAAGGCAAGTGAGCGCAGCGAACGAGCTCCAACCTAAAGGTGAGTGAGCGTAGCGAACGAACTTCAACCAGGACGTGATTGAGCGATGCGAACGAGATCATCTTGAAAATTAAACGTAACGGTACTTTCTTTCCATTGGTCTGTCTTAAGGGAAACCTATAACTTAGGCGATACGAAGTTCGCCGGGTCAGCTAGTAATATTATAATAATTTCAATTTAAAATAATGTAGCCTATAGTATTTTGTTTAAATGTTTCTTATTGCTAATTTAGGTAGTAAGTAACAATAGACACTATTCATGTACGAAAATTTGTACTGTGTGAATAAAGACTCTTTGAATCTTGAATCTTGGTATGGATTCTAAAATCTATTTTTAGTCAAAACAGATGGTCAAAATGTTTTAAATGACAAACTCTCATTCCAATCGAATTCCATTTATAACACCGCAATCCAAATACTGGATGGGGGAGGAGGAGAGAAGGAATGAATGCGAGCCAGCAGTGATAAGGAGACAATGGCTGACGTCATACCGTTAGACCACTGACCACCAGTTCGAGCTACAACTTCCACCCGGTCGCGTCACCTGTCTCGTGTTCCCGAGTACTCGGTATTTTTAATGTTAAATGTTCGTGTCAATGTATGTTTTCGTGTGTTCGTGTTTTATGTACTTATGACGACCTTCATATATGGAAGTGAATAACGACGCCTTGTACGGCCTGAAGATGGTTCCCTGTGAACCGAAACTATAGTTGCCACAAGCAGCATAATGGATTACTGAATGCAGGTATTTAAACCATTATAAATATTCAAACGTAATCCGGAGGCTAACAACTCTTAAAAATGAAATGGATTAAAACTTAATCTTGAAAAAACGCAAACAATAAAATTTTCTGTCAGAAACAATGGTAATAAAATTGAATCCCTTAAATTGGCAACGTCTCATAAATTTCTAGGTGTTTACATAGATGAATCACTTAAATGGGATGTACATCTGAATCAATTAAAAAGTAAACTTAGATCCATGTCAATTGTATTTCTGCACTTAAGGGACTGTGTTCCTAAAGAAACTCTGAAAATGGTTTATCATGCTTATGTAGAATCAGTATTGAGGTATGGTATAATCTTATGGGGTCAGGCTACCGGAGTCAAATCAATATTCAGGCTACAAAAACGCATTATCCGTATTATGACCAGCTCTCATCCACGTAGTTCATGCAAAAATCTTTTTCGAAATTTAAAAATCCACACCCTAACAGGACTGTACATCTTGGAATCACTAAACTACATTCATTCAGCTAAAAACTACCTCCCAGAATCAATTCAAATCAACCATAGATATAATACTCGAAATGAAAACATTTTTAGATTTCCAAGGCACCATTTGACCCTTTATGAAAAAAGTCCACTATATGCTGGGCTGAGGCTGTACAATGTGCTGCCTGCAAACTATAAATTGCTAAATGAAAATAATTTTAAAGATAAAATAGGTGAACTCTTAATTGACAGAGCCTTTTATTTAATTGCAGATTTTCACAATGCCCCTTTAGTTTAGAATAGTTTTATCATTCAATTTTGTTAATTTATATTATCATCTTGATTACTATTTTATTTTTAATATTCTGACAATTCGAACTCTGACAATGCACCTATTCTGTATGTAACACATGTAAAGAATGTTATGTGCAAATAAAATATGTCTATGTCTATGTCTATGACATGTCCGATCGCGGCAATAGAGGTTTCCGATCACGCAATCTTCGGAGACGTGTTTTAATTGCATTTGAAGTGCTTTTATTGATAACATTCCAGTAATCCGGCATTTTCACTAATCCGGCAGTATCAAGGTCCTATATCTGCTGGATTACTGAGAGTCTACTGTATAGTCGAACACTTAATAAATGGTTGATCCTTTAACCCCCCTAAGTGTCGCCCCCCCCCCCCCCCCCCGTATTGGGGGGTTTCTGATGCGTGCGAGTGTCGCCTGCCCAAAATCGGGCGAGTTTGTAGGCGATAAGTTTTGTTCATTATTTTATACATGTGTGATCAATGGTCCGGCTTACTTATACTGAACTGTTCAACTAAAACAGGGATGGGCCGATTGCTCTTTTTTTTGGTAATAGGCACACTTACTTAATTGCGCCATACCAACGCCAAAACCAAGTCGTCCAAGTCCAAAAATGTGCGTTCAAAGAAATGGTATGTTATTTTAGATGAGTGAAGGAAAAAGAAAAAATATCACAGGTGTTGAAATATAGCTAAGTTTGGAGTAAGCTCAAGACGAAAGTACTGATGGTGTGACAAAAAAATGGTGTGGGTAGGCCTACTTTTTACCAAGACAAAAATATATGCTTCACTTTTTTTATGTAAAATTTTATTTAAAGCAAACGAAATAGGGTTTTACACGGTTGTTTTATTTCCCAAGTGAGCTGGTTGAACCATAGACTAAACAACACAAGTAGCCTTCTCATCCCATTGTAAATTATGAAGCTTGTTTTTCGTGTATAGTTCATGGTTGTAGGTACACTTGTTAATTTTAAATTCGTTGACCGATACTCAGTTAGTAAAATTGTAAACAACATATTAAATACTAAACATCAATTCAATCCACAGTCGTGCGTCGATTGGGAATCGTATTGACTAAATCGTCGTGCCGTTCCGCCTGCGTCTGCCTAGTTTTAGTTTTACCGTCAGTGCCTGTCTACACACACACACAAACACGAACACAGACATTACCTATTGCGATCAAGGCTAAGTCGATACCGGCAATAGTTGCTCGCACTGAACTAGAGCTACAACCGAAGGTAGCACTGAATGCGAGAATTGAGAGATGTTGGCCGCCATATTTACTAGGGGAATAGTACTTTGGAACTATGGCAGTGCAATTCCCAACAGCCAATGAGCTGATTGATTCTTCTAGTGGTACCAACATAACAACGTTTTACAGCGTCTCAATTTTCTAGCAGAGTTGCTGTGCCAGTGATGCCGACATTTGGATGTTTTCAGTATATGACTATTTCGTTTCGTAAAAAGCAAGAGCAGTTCCCTGATTCCGTTTACTTATTACACTTAGATACGATAAATAACTGAGAGCGCACGATAATTTTGGGCCGGCATGAACTACACCAGTGGTCTGATTCAGAATCTAAACGAACGACAAAACATTGACCATTGCAACTTCCTCAAAAATATGAGTTTTTATTTGAAATCGGTATCGAGAATCGTGAGTAATATTTCAGAACTGGTATCGAATCGACAAATTCTGTTATCGACCTATCCCTATTAAAATACAATTAATATTCGACTAATAAACGTAATTCAAGCCATGGCCTTAAGTTTTGAGACCGAGTTTGGTTTTGTTCCAGCTATGCGTAGATTGACACTGCTACTGCTGTCGCTGTGCTGTTACACGTTATTATAGATGGATAGAGCTGGCGGGTGGCGGCGAGTCGGCGTATTCTGTCAGCGATTCTCAAATCTTTTCTTACGTTTCGGTGGATTCAAGATTCGGATTCGACTCATCTGAGCTGCCACGCCCGTGTCATGTCATTGACTGTCGTGTCTCAGGTCTCAGTCTTTCGTATGCTTATTGACGACAAGTATAACATTGCGGAATGAGGTGTTGAATATGAAATGTTTCTTAATCAGCATTTTTTACAGTTAAGGAGGATGAATCAGGGAGTAAATACAAACTTACTATAAATTAAACTTTATTACACAATAATCCATATAAGCTAATGTACTAGTCGGCAGAAAAATTACCACCTGGAATCGAAGGAATGAAATCCTTGTCATTATTTTCTACTTAAAGTACATACACAAACCTACATACACGGACGGGACGAAGACATTACGAAACAAATCATTCAATTCAATTTAAACAATTTTATTCATGCAATTTTTAAATTAAGTACATAATCCCATGTGCCATGCAAAGCACGTGCAGGATGAAAAACACATTTTTATTAATACATTTCATTTTATGGCAGCAAACAGTTCATTTTTTTTCTTCTTTGTCACTTTAACAGAACAGTGAGTAGACATTTCCTATTGCAACAGTTTTAATCATATAAATAACACTTATGCTATAAATAAACAAATTAGAATAATTTAATAAGAACACGGTTTTTAAAAAGACAATAAATTCTACATGCAAATATAAATAGTAATTTATCTAAAACAAAGCTAAAAATCATTCGTAATGTCTTCATCCCATCCGTGTATGTGTGTTTGTGTATGAACTTTTAGTAAAAAAAAAAATGACAAGGATTTCACAATCCAACTGCGACGTTTTGACAATGGCCGATACAAGCCGAAACATGTAAACGACCTTCAATAAAATTGAGCTGTTCGTCGGATTTATAAGGTATGTAACCTATTCATGATGATGATGATGTCTCCGTCATTGTGGGTGGTGTTCATGATTTTTCAACCAGGAAGAAACCACTTATAACTACAATTAATGTACTACACACTAGGCATTTTCACATTCTATAACCAGTTCAAATTAAATTACCTCTTAAAACTAAAAGATGACTCTGACCAAAACATCAAAACAAGTCAAAATTGCCAACTATGCAGTGCACAAAATATCAACCTACACAAAAGAAAATTGTATCGGACAAAAGAAAACATTTCTAACCTGGCTCAGAGATGTAATAAACTCCTTATCAGAGACACAATCTTTAACGCACTCTGTGTCTCCTCATGACCTTTATGAAGCTGCATTTAAGTTAATTTTACTAGTTTTTGTTATTTATGCTTTTTAATAAAACAATATGGATATAAATAAATTTGGGCAAAATTACAGTAGCAAAAAGCCATGGGTAAAATGCAAAATAGTATTTTGCTGATCTTATTTAGGACAGATAGTATAACTGAGACTAACTGGAAATACATAATGTAATGAATACATACATACAAGGTGTCCAGCGTTCTATCAAAATCTATATATAAAGCCAAAAGTACCCATGAACTTTTGAGAAAACTACAAGTCACACCCCCATAAACCATATACTTAAAATGTTCGTCATGACGAGAAACCTTGTGCAAAATTATCCATTATTTCATAAGTTGCCCTATAAGGTCGTAATTGCTTTCCAAAGGGAACTTTCCATTTACCTAATGTTAAAAATACCTCAGCTGTTATTATTTGTTTGTATTCTGCTTTGTTTATTTCATCTTAACTTAACCAATCAATAGTTTCATTAATACTAATGTAGTAAAATGGGGTGGAGCCCGTGGGTAACAGCTAGTAAAATTTAAGGACAATTCCAGGTCTTCCAAGTCCAAAATTAAAAATTTCCAAGGCAAGATGAAGATTTGGTCAATGGTGTGGACCTGTATCCTTAACAAAGAATAGGGCATTTGTTATCGTTACTAATAAACTGTGCATCTTACCTTAACTTCTTCAATTGGAGTACTGTCAGGAATCTCCCTAAGGATAACAATGCATCTCTTATGACTGGGCCTTACTTTCTGGCCCTCTTCATCAACTTGCAAGTTGGGTGATTCTGTAAGCCGACCAAACACAATTACTTCACAGTAATACTGGGAAAATAAATATCTTTAGATTAGAAGATGGGAAACAAACAAAATTAAAAAATGTTGTTTATCACTGTAAATAGACAATGAAGCAACTAAAAACAATGCAAAATACATTGGCAAGTTATCTAAGTAACGTTTGAGGAATTAAAGACGCATCTGATCCTAAATTGGATGCCAATGACTTCAACAAAAATGTCTAAATCAATATATTTCTAAAAAAAATGTGCCTGAAATTTCTAATCACAGGGACAAACCATAACGGCCTACACAATAGAATTTGATAAAGAGAACCTATTTGTTATACTTGAGTGAAAAAGTAAAAGACTGTGACCCTTGATTTTAGATTATGAACTAGACATCTAATCTGTCTGCACCAGATTTACACTTCTAAAAACATACTCATCTTAAATAGCCCAAATTTGTACTGTTTTGAAATTTGAAGGGTAATTTGTTGAAGTTTTTTAGTCTTCATAGCTTTTATACCATTATTGCCTAATTTAACTAAGCCTTACCCCTTAGAACTTCCGTGATCAGTTTAATGTCCTTGGTCAGTTTCTTCACAGCATTAAAGTTAGCCACGGTCCAGATCGGGACGTATTGGTCGTTGTCCATTTGAGACAGCAGGTAGGTGTCGTTTGCCAGATTTTCCCTACAAAAAATCAAAGTCATATCTGTATATATAACCAAGTGTCATTTGAATATATATATATTCAATTAGACCTGCATCTGATCTAACCCAAAGATGTTAACTGAAAGAAAGGATCATGAGGTTTTAAGTTCGCCTCGGTAAAGAAGAATTTATATATCAAAGTGTAATTATAAGATGTGATTAAGAGTGAGTAATAAGTGTTTAAAGGTGTGTGTGTGTGTTTAAGGTGAGTGTTTAAGTGTGATTATAAGAAATTACTTTGGGTTAATCACTCAGGCAATCAAGGTCATATTGGTATGAGTTTTTAAGAACCCAAATATATTTTATAACACAAGGGGAAAATTAATATCAGTACGGGAGGATGTATACCTTGAGAAGTAGTATTCGAGCTGAGAGGAGAGCATCTGCTTGAGCTGGTCAAGAGGAATACTCGACTGTGTATTCTCCGCTGTGGCCGGGGGGCTAGTGGCGGGGGCCGGCCCCCCCTCGGGGGCCGCACCATCACTGAACGTCTCCTGAGGATCCACTACGCCGTTTAATGTGCTGTCAACACAAAGGAAACTATGACAGAATGTTTCCACTAAAAAGTTTTTACTTGATAGGTGTTTTTGACACTACAGGACTAGTATGTATATAAATGTGTGTGTGTATGTATAGTTGTATAGGCCTACATAGTTATTAATAAACTAGTGATATGACACCCTGCACAGTTGACAAAAGCCATGACAGCAGCCATTTTGTAGTTTGTAAATTATTTTACCTACGACCGTTTTTTAAAGCAGCCATTTCAGTCCAGTTCTTAGAATTGAAAAGTTTCACTTTACAGCTGTTTACTTTCATATCCGCATAGTTTCATTTCATATCCGCATAGTTTTCTCTTATCCACACAGGTAACGGACCAATGAGGTTCAAGTATTGAGAGAAAATAATTAAAATTGTAATGCTTCGAACGTCAACTAATCAGCTGATCAGTTGACCAATTTAAGTGTTGATCCGACTTGTTCATGTTGATACTCGCGTATTCTTAATTAAGTTGGTGGAAGTCCAAAAATAAATGAAATATTTGCCGAATTGTACCTGATACAATATTATTTATGGTAAGAATGCTGCTGGCAATGTAATATTTAACGAAGTTTAACAAACACGTAATTACAGTAAATCAGCTGATTATACAACAAGTCGTTGCATCACTTTCAGTGGCAATGACAATACACGAAAACATAACCTCTCTAAAAAGTTATCATTAGTGATTGTTAGTAATTAAATCCAGATTGATAGTAATTAAAAAACGGTCGTAGGTAAAGTAGTGTACGCAACTCGCGTTAATAGTCTTTACGACACTCGTTCAAGTTTTTAAGGCACTCGCCAAGGCTCGTGCCTTAAATTTTCTACTCGTGCCGTAAAGACTCACTTAACGCAATCGTTGCGTAAACTACTATTTCTACACCTGACAAAGTCCCTCAGGGGAAGAAATATTGTGTGCATAGTGTATTTCTACATTTTCTATGGCCTACCTACACTTTCGAGGTAAGCTAGCTGCTATCCTCTTTTTTTCTACGATTCAAAATCCTGGTCTAGAGCCTTTCCTTGAACAAAACTAGGCTGAGTGATAAGATCAAGTAAAGAGATGCAAAATTTAAAAAGCTGATCAGACTTTGGCAAAATTCAGTGGGAGTCATTAACAGTCATTTAACCCTTCCAGGGCTATGGACGGATATATCCGTCAATTTTTGTTTACTTTCCGGGCTTAAAACGGATATATCCGTCCCGAGAAATTTATTTTCTGGGATAAAGACAAAGATATATCCGTCCAAAAAACGAATTGATATATAATTTTTAAAAATAGTTGTTTAGCCTCCGGATTACTGTATTATACTTAAAATGGTTTACAATACCTGCATATAGTAATCCTTTGTTAATGATCTTGGCAACTAGTTTCGGTTCATTAGTGAACCTTCTTCAGGCCTCAAGGTGTCAAATGATCAGGTATATCATATAGTAGCAGGTATTGTAAACAATTTTAAGTGATATACAATGTTTAAAATACGGTAATAAACATTACACTGCATTATAAATGGGTTATTTTGTTTTTGTGGTTGGCAATAATGATTGCCGCAGCTGTTTCGGCTATTTCACACCATAGAGTGTGTGTAAGTAAATATGCTGTCACTTCACACATGGTTGTTAGTGAGTGATGTTTACATATTTTGTTTTGTCCTTTATTTTTATGTTATTGAGCTAAAGTTACTAATGCAAACGATCTGAAATTTGAAGATGTTTTTGGGATGCTTAACAAAAGCATGTATGAGAGGGGTTTTAGACTTGGCAGTGAACATAATAGTATGAACTAGTGGTCGTCCAGTGGTCGATACTCGACCAAAAAATATCCAATGTACAGGCTTCTCTATTTTCACCCCACACTGTAAATAAAACGTGTGATTGTAATTTGTAATTTCTTACATTTGTTTTGATTTTCTGTTTATATTTTGTTATTTCGTCACCAACATAGCAACCTATAAGACCCATGTTAACTTTTTAAAATTTCAAATTCGTTTTTTGTGCTTATTTTTGAGCCTATTTTAATGTATAAAGGGATTCTGTACATCTACAGGTAAATATCTTTTTAACAGTATGCATAGACTTTCCTTGCTATGCACACGAGCTTAGAAAAAAGGTTTTAAAGAAACATGCTTGCCTATTAATATATAGATAGATTGTGATGGATATGATGAACCTGAAGAACAGTCTTTACCGACCGTAGTGGAAGTCTTGCCGGGGAATGGGATTGAGGACATGGGAGCGGAACTGAGTGGTTTACATTTACTTAAGAATGATAGATACATTTTTATGGATAAAAAATAAAACAAGGGAAGGAATAGCCTAAGGTTGACGGATATATCCGTCCACCTTATGTTTTTTGTGGGCCAACAAAGACGGATATATCCGTCAAATCAAATTTTATTTTCTTCATAACTTTTCTAGAAAAATTAGTTCAGCCTTTATTAAAATCTTTTTATGATCCATGAATTATTTCAAGTGAAATAAATACAAAACACAACCACTTTAGTTTTTAATTTTTGGCAAAAAATAATTAAGCTCCAGCCCGTCATTTAATTTAGCCCTGGAAGAGTTAATAGTGTGAAAAATGAAATGTATTTTCAACCTTTGGATTAAAGAACTTTTATAGTCGAAATTGATATAGACCTATTTAAAAGAAGTTCAGCTTACATTTGATGGTTTTATTTCCTTGAGTAAAATGTTATATCTATTTGACTCTAAACCTCGGTTTCTTCATGGTAAAACTTTTTTATCACCTTACTATGTAGGTTCCTTCTTATAAAACACTTACACCATATAACGTATATTTCTAACAAATTTTAGTCAGTTTGATTTTTTTCAAGTGAACTAACTTATCCAAGTACAATGGAACAGGTGTCGCCTCATACCTGAAGTCATTGACAGATTCTGCCGTGGTAGCCGAGACAGAAGCAGGGGGTGGGGGAGCCTGGGGTTCAGGGGAAGCAGCATAAACCGCCCCTGAAGGGATCTTCCCAACGTCCCCATTCATGTACACGTACCCTGAAACAACCGAAACTAATTAAAATTAAAATCTCAAATATGTGGTTTACTTCTGTCACCGACAATGAACAGGCCTACCACAGGACTAAGGTGGTTTGGACAGTTGAGAAGAAACTAGTGCATGGGTTAAATTTAAAATTGACTCATTCAAAATCCGTTTTACAGCTTAAATGAATTTATGAAGTGCAATTTTGTTATAAGTTCTATTTAAAACAGGTCATTGTGCTATGTAATTGATGTAATTTTATAAAAAGAAATTAGATTGTATCATGATGATTTTTTTGTAATGTTAAATAATATAAATAAAACCAATTTTTCTTATTCTTATTAAGTTAAAATTAGTCGCACGTATAAGTAGTATTATTAGTTCAGTTCTTTGTTAATTCAGTTATTCATCCAGTTCTCGTCCAAGATTGTGGTTGCAAAATAAGGGGAGCTACGAAGTTAGTTTAAATATGTTTAAACTAAGTTTAACCTCCCGCCGGTCGCACCAAATCTATTAGATACTGCAGCATGAAAATTCCCGCCATTTACGTGTTCCCGCCCCAAAACCAGTCTTGGCCACTGTGCTGCTTCCTCCCCTCCCCCCTCACACCTCAGTAGCGCTGTTAGCGTCGTCCCGTGCACACATGCCTTGTTTTGCTTTGTTTGTTGTAGGCCTATCTGACAGATATACAGTGCGACCGGTCGTGTTTTTATTTTGTGATGCATTTCGTTTTTATATGATATATCTCTGTTATATCATACAAAAATTTGATGATTCCATTAAATTTAGAAATAAATAAAACTGTTTTTACCCAGCAAAGACAACGTTTAGTTCAGAATGTGACGGGCATGGTGCACTGTATCTAATGGATAGGCCTACAGGAATGTGTAGGCCTATGGTCTGACAACTTTTTTACTAATTGAGAAATGAAAACAGTGTCAAATATGTATGAAATCTATAGGTCAAGAGTTGTTATATAAAGTAAAATAAAAATTAGGGGGAAAACATATTAAAAGTGGGCTTCTCAAAAATTTTTAGGGAAAATGTATCTGAGAGAGATAGTGTGCCGCCCCGGTCACGTTGAATTAAATTTTAACATTGGGCCCTAATTGGCGTTTTTAGTTTTAATTAGCCTTATTATTATTATTATTTTATGGCCAGCATTGGACCACTTAAGTCAATATAATGGTTAGATTCTTTTTAAATTCTGTCTGTTCTTCTTGTCCGCCCAATACTTCTTCATTCTTTCCGACCGTTGTTTTCTTTCTTCTTCCGAAACCACTCTTCCTTGTCTCTGATTGTTTGCTCCTATTAGCAGGATGATATTTTTGTCTTTGAGTACTGCAAGCGCCTCTGACTTATTTTCCAAATCTTCTAATGATATTTTCAACCTTCTCATGTCCTCCTTAATCTCTGTAATCCACCCAAAGTCACTCTTGCTATTCCACAACTTGTCAATTATTTTCTTGCTTATTCTATTTTCCGGTGTCCTTAAAAGATGTCCAATGAATGAAATCTTTTCTTTTTAATTATAATGTTAATGGCTCTATTTCCTTATATACAGTTTTATTTGAGGCCAATCTCCAAACTCCATCTTTTTGATATTTTTTATTTATACATGTTCTGATGATTCTTCTTTATATTATTAGTATTTTATCTATTGCTACAGTGTTAGTTGTTTTAAACAAAGTTTCACTTGCATATGTTATTTGTGGAAGTATAACTGCTTTGTAGTGTTTCAATTTTGTTGCTATTGATAGGCATTTTTTGTTGTATGTGTTTTTAGTAATATGTTGCATTCTGATCAATTTATTAATTCTATTTTGCCATGATGGATTTTCTGTAAGATTGTATGTTATAACTTCACATTTAATTATTTAACTATTATCAGTTTTACATTTTACTAATTGGTATTTAACTTACTCATATGGACTCAAAATAATTATTGATGTTATTGTAACTTAACTTCTCGCCTTTGCCAGCATTTGATGGTGTTCACATTTTTTTTTTTAATATACAGGCCTTAACTAAGAAGAAACCAGTTAATAGGCCTAAATTGTTATCATGGATGCAATGCTTGAAAAGTTATTGTAATTAATTTTAAAAATATATGTAAAAAATATATGGGCTAGTAAATTAACCTAAAACTAAGAAAATTCTTTATACATGCCACATAATGTAGCACAATTGTTTTAACTAACCAAATGAAAAGATTCAAACAATTCATTGGTAAAGATAAGGTAATTGTTAAGTTGATGCTCTGTTGGCAAATTCCTGACAAAAATGATTTTACTGACAAGTGCTTTCAAGGCAAGATAATGTCAGTTGCTCATTGAAGTTCTATTGGAATAAAAGAGAAAATTCCATGTAACAGATATAAAAAAAAAGTATGGTAACAAATTGTGACATAAAATTTTACTACCGAGAGTCAAGTTTAAATAAACCAAAAAATACTTATTAAAACTATTAATTTTTGGATAAATAGCTTATATTTATTACAATTTAAATTTAAAAACCAAATTCAAGTGTTAAAACAATTTCAACAATTACATAACAGACTTATGTGTCAACCAGTTGAAGATCCTTGTTTTTTTTTAGAATTTTATTTCACTGTAACAATATAAACAGCACAATATTAGCAATAATTGAGCCAACAACTTATGGGCTAATTATGGGTGACAATGGTCATTCATTATTAATTTTTTTTTAATTCGTTCCAGAGAAAAAAATTACAGGCAACCTGGAATACTTGATCTTGCATAGCAAAATACAGATGATGTGGCAATAAGGTCCACAATATTTTTATCCTACCTAGGCTACCTAGCCTCTTGTATCAGCAAGCCGCTTTTTGTTTTCTCAAAATCGGTTATTAAATTGGTTGTTAACTTAACCCTCCTGGTGTCAGTCATTTTTTGTGTGGTGTCAATCGATTTTTGGGCATTTTGCAGTAATATTTATTAAAAAATGTAACAAATCTACTTTGTACAATAACTATATCTTCTTATATATTTTTGTACAACTAAATATGCATGCACATTATGATTCAGCCAAATAATTAGGTTTTTATAACTATTTTATCATAAAAAAGTACTTAGAAAGATAAAAAATACAAAATAAAAGCATTGGAAAAAATTTTCGTGCCCCTATTTTTATGAGTAATTGTAACTAAATGAAACATCTGAAATAGCCATTTATTTCTAAATATTATAGCAAAAAAGAAAATAAGATCGAGGAATAGTCGCAAAATCACTCATTAGGCCTATTACAATGACTTTACTGCCATTACACATAACCTTCAAATAAACACCTCAAACCAACAAGTTAGTCATCACTGATTATTTTGTACATCTAAATATGTAGTCTAAACAGATATATATATATCAGTTTTCAATAAAGAAAATATAGTAACAAACAACTTGTAAACAACAACAACAACCAAAACATTGTCTTTGTCTCAAAACATCTGGAAACAGACAAACAAAAGTAAGAAGGTTATGAAACAGACGCCAGAAGGAAGCCAGTTTTCTGCTGTTTAACACTAATACCGAAACCCTGGTCTGACAGGCCCACGGGAATTTTCAAAAACTCATGTTGGCAACACTGTTTACTTGGTAGATTCCATTCCCCCAATACCTTCCCCCCTTTTCCTCCCCTACCTATTGATATATCGTTTGTTCATTTTGCATGGGTGCCGTGACCTTGACAGGTCGTCTGTTCATAACATGTCCGTCTCAGAAGCCCAACGTTAGTGTATTTTAAAGCGGGGTCTCACAGACCGAGGGTTTCGGTTTGTGTGTTGTTTCTAAGCAAAGTCCATTATTTTTCAAATGGGGTCTCACAGACCGGGGGTTTCGGTTACCGTCAGCCTATATGGGGTTTCGGTATTAGTGTTAGGGATAGCCGATTGTCGATAGTCCCTTACAATCGATTGTCCCGATAGTATCGATAGACAATCGACATTTTAAGTACTACCATTGAGTATACACATATACTCACGTGTATACGTCTATACTCAATGGTACTACTTTAAATTCAAACTTAAATCAAGGAAATTGCATGAATGAAACAAATGCTTAATATTAACGTTGTTTATAAATATGTATTATGGTAAAAACCTTTTCGTGTAGGTGATTTATGTTTTACAAATTAGCATTATAGAAATAAAAATGACAAATGCTATATCGCTTTGTGTGAGAAAAGAACCACTTTTTTTGTCTTCTTCTACTCATTATGTCTAGCTAATACATTAGCTAACACTAATAATTCTCTCACTATTTCTAAAAATAATACTTTACATATTACCTAATTGATATCTAACACTAAGGCACAAATAAGATCACAGTGTAGGTTAGGTACTGGGGTACTGGGTAGATAGTTAACGATAACAGAAAGAACAACGCACCTATGTTAGGTTAGGGAATGAGACCTTCCCAACAAGAACACCAACACCCTCGCCCACGAATACTAGAAAAATACCGGTATGGATCATAAACATAAACATATGACGTTTTTGGCCCGAAAGTAAACAAAACCCCTATACTAATAGCATTAATTAAAATTAACATTTGGTTTTGTTTACTTTCGGGCCATAAACGTAATTTGTTTATGTTTATGATCCATACAGGGTCTTATCTAGTATTCGTGCCCCCGCCCAACCACGGCGTCGTGTCGCCGGAATACAATCGATTGTTGAAAAAAACTATCGATAGTCTATCGATTGTTAAAAACAATCGATACTATTGATTGTACAATCGACAATCGGCCATCCCTATTAAACAGTGATATCAATCCAGTCCAAATCGGACTGAAATTGACTGAGGACTGAAATTGACTGAGTTAAAAGACAATATGTAACCGTCTGCACTACCATCGATGCATCGATGTTTGACACTGGGAGGGTTAGTAATTGAATTGTAACAAAACCCCCCTTTTACATTTGGAAAAAACATGCTAAATTTAAACATAGGTGTTGTTGTTTCTTGCTCATAATCTCGCATCACACCAGTTTGGTATT